AAATTGGAGATAATAGTTATGTATGGGTTCCAGGCTTGATTTTTGACGCCCGGTACCACCGAATAATTCTTAATTATTATAACTCTCAATTTCAACATTTTTAGATTTTTATTAACTTAATAAATTAAATTAAGTATGATTTTTAAAATTGGAGATAATAATTATGTATGGGTTCCAGGCTTGATTTTTTACGCCCGGTACCACCGAATAATTCTTAATTATTATAAGTCTCAATTTCAATATTTTTAGAATTTTGTTAGCTACTAAGACTCTACGCTAAAAGGCTCTACATTTTACTACGCTAAAAGGCTCTATATTTTACTTCGCTAAAAGATACTATATTTTACTACACTATAAGGCTCTACAATATGAACATAACATAAACAATACAAATAAACAAAATAAATAATATTATTTAACAATATAAATTATTTATCAAATTTTAATACAAATTATATAAGAATACAAATTATTTATCAATTTTAAGCATTTTTGGTCACAAACATAATATAAATTCGGGTATATAAATCAAATATAACACAAACAATCCGGTAGTATTTTTGGTCACAAACATAACATAAATTCGGGTATCAAATAAATCAATCCGGGTATATAAAAGATACAAAATTAAACACAAACATAACATAAATTCACATGGAAACATGCTAAACAATACTAATATGCATGACTATACGAGTTTCGGCATAAACTAAATTGAAATACCTCGATGTAAATTTTTTGAATATTGTTGAAATTAAATTTTTGCACTCCAAACACGGCATCCAAAGCTTTTTGTGTATGTGGGACCTACACGCCTTGCTCTTTATGGGACGGGTGGGCCCAAAATTTTTTTTTTTTTAAATAAAACGGGGGGTGGGGGACAGAAAGGAGCTTGAGTTTGTTTTTTAATGGAGGTTGTGTGAAACGTGTCGGGGAAGACGGAAGCTGAAGGGCTTTATTTAATTAAGACAATTCGCAATATTGTACTGCGAATTGCCTTTATTAAATAAGGCTGGGCCCAACTACTACATTAAACGATGTGTTTTGGTTAAAAAAATAATAAAAAACTACTTCGCAGTATGATACTGCGAATTGTTTTAACGGCAAAAAATCCGTTAAACAAATTCGCAGTATAGTACTGCGTAATACTTATTTTTGTGACTTTTTTTTTTAAAACATTAAAAACGTACTTTGTGTCTAAAAAATCATTAATTAAGTTTCGGACTCAGAGTAAATGCATCATAGGGAAGTTAAATGGGTTGGTGTGTTATTAATGTATAGTCTCATACTCTCATTTACTCAAAAACTAAAGACCTAAAAAACACTCTCCTACAAACCCTAACTATGGACGCCTCTCACTCTACCAAACGAGCCCTCACTTACTCTTCTACTAGTGATGATGAAGAAGAGAATCATCCAACATTTGAAGTGGTTATGACTGATTCATACATCAACTACGACGATCTGGTTATGCATCAGTATTGTATATATTTTTTTGTGCTTAAGCTTTATATTTTCCGAAAACTTAATAGTATTGTTTTTTTCCTTTTTTCAGTATATTCCAAGAAAAATCTACAAGCATTTTCCTCCAACAGTTGAAATCGCGCTTCTTCATTATCGTGGCAAAGAGTGGTTTGAATCTACGAGCGTTGGTGATCGAAGAAGGTTCAAAGAAGGCTGGAAACTTTTTGTTTTGGATAATTATGTCAAGCGAGGTTTCGTCGTCAAATTTACGTTGGTTGATGTTTCATCACTATATGTTGACTTCAATGTTGAAGTGAAGGGAGAAGGAACTTCTGATCGTAATCCGGTTGAAATTGATTAGTTTTTAGGATGTTTTGTGTTTTCTATCCCTTTATTATCTTTTATTTTCATGTTGATTTAGTTATGCTAGTTGTGCTTTTGATTTGCTATAACAATTTTCATTTCTTACGTATGAAATCAAATTCAAAGACTGTTTTTATTTTTATTTTTTTAAAATCAATTCTTCAAGATGAAGACTTAATATTCAACCTAATTCTACCTACACACTACTAAAACGGTTGAGAATAATAAATTCTTCATTGAGAAGCTAAATAGTTGAGAATAATAAATGCTTCATTGAGAAGCTCAATAGTTGGCATGAGAAGCTCAATGGTAACCTACCAATCGGATTCTTTTTGGAATGGAGAAGAGAATTTTTTTTGTGATTTTACTAGAAAATTTCATTGAGAAGCTATATAGTAAAACTGCAAAATCATATCCAAATCACTTATTCTCACGGTTGGAATGGATAAGAGAAAATTAAGAAAACTATTTACTGGAAAAAAATATTCTAATAGAAATTTAGTAAAAAAATTTACTGGAAAATAATTTACTGGAAAACATTATCCAAACCGGGTATTCTCAAGGTTGGATGAAGAGCTCATTTGGATAATGTTTTTTAGGTAAACTAAATGGATGCATTGAAAAATGTGAAGTCTTTTTTGAGGAGTGTAAAGGGTTCATTGAAGATTGTGATTCAAATTAAAATAAGAGACAAACCCTAACCCTAATCCTAGAAGTATTCAAAAAACCATACTATAAATACAACTACATTATTAATCTCATTCATCCAAATTATCTATTCTAATTCAAAATTCTCTGGAAATAAAAATGGAAAGAACCCTTACTAAGAAAATTATCGATGAACCTCTTCATGGTTCACCCATTAACCACAAAATCCTCTACCAGGATGTTAGGAACAAGTTGAAAAATCTGAAAATAGAGACAAACCTGTTGATGCTACGGTTGACAAGGGAAATTGGAGCAGACTATGTGAAAAGACTTCTTCTTGATTCATACCCTCTCACTTCCTGCTATGATATGCTTGAGGAACTTCTAGTTGAGCAAGATGAAGAACCCGATACTCCTGTTATCGTTATAAGCAGTGACACCGAAGCTGCCTCTAAGGCTTCAAAATCTCTTAATCAAAAGAGTGAAGAGTAAAAGTTTGTGTTTTTAAGTTGTTTTGTGATGCATGCCATGTTGTTATCATGGTATGCTAAAAGTATTTTCCAAATATTATTTGGAATATGTTGAAAAGTATCAATTAATAAATGAAAATGCTTATTTAGTATTTCTTTCCTTTCTTCTGCTTCCCTTACGTTTGATTCTTATTTTTTGCTACATGTTTTAAAATATTGTTGATTCCTTTATTCCCTGGTTCCAAATATTATCGAGCCAAAAAAAATACCCTTTTTGNGAAATCGCGTAAAGGCACTAAGCAGTTCTATATCAAAGTAGTAAAGCCATTTAAACAGCAGATAATGAAGAAGTCAAGTGAAATTCCTTAAAACCAGGTAGAACAGGTAACTTAACAAATATTAATCAAGTATAAAATCCGCTCCTCGAGCATATTGTTCATTTATTTATTACTTTCCCTCAGTACTCAACTCATATACTTTTCACAATAAACGAAATCATAAATATACCGCTGCGGCGTGCAGCCCGATCCGCATATCGCTGTGGCGCACAGCCCGATCCATAACAATAGTCGACTGCGCTCACTGGGGTTGTGCAGACTCCGGAGGGGCTCCTACAGCCCAAGCGCTATATTGCTGCGGCGCGCAGCCCGATCCAACTATATACAAATATACACTTGCTGCGGCGTGCAGCCCGATCCATATAAATATATTGCTGCGGTGTGCAGCCCGATCCATAACATATAAAACATCCTCACTATTGGGTTCTCAACCCCTCTCAGTCAATATAATCACAGCCTCTCGGGCATACTAATATAAGATAGGGATCTCAGCTCACACATTACTTTCATTTAGGATTAGAATTTCAAAAACCAGTTCATATTGTGTTGAACAGTGAGAAACATGACTGAGGGTATGATTTTTAACAAGTAAGGTGAGGATAATCAGTAAAAATGCCCCTAAGGGTTCTACAGGTCGGCACAAGGCCCCAAACATGGCAACTAGTCCAGATCATAATGATAATAATTAAATCTCAGTCAAAATACGGTAAAAATCACCAATCGGGATGGACCAAGTCACAGTCCCTAGTAGTAAAGGACCCCACGCTCATCATACAGCGTATGTCTCACCTCAACATAGCACTACTTTGTGCAAATCCGGGGTTTCAAACCCTCAGGACATCATTTATAATCATTACTCACCTCAAGCCGGCCAAACTCTAGCTCGCTATGCCCTTGCCTCTCAGATCGGCCTCCTCGTGCGTCGAATCTGATCAAAACCACAACGAATACGTCACAATATGCTAGGGAAACAATACCCAATCGAAAACAATTGAAAAATATCAAGAATCCCGAAATTAGCAAAACCCGAGCCCCGGACCCACTTCTCGAAATTCAAAATTTTTTACATCAACGGGTTCCTTATCTCGCCACGAGTCCATACATACCAAGAACTCTCAAATCCGAGCTCAAATGACCCATCAAGTCCTAATTTAAAATTAAAAAATCCAAGCCCTAGTTCTTCCAATTTTAGCCAAGTTTCCATGAATTCCAAGGTTAATTATACTTAATAATCACGTATTTAGTTCATAGAACTTACCTCCAATTAATCCTCTTCGAATCCCTCTTCAATTCTCCCAAATAGCTCTCAAGGTGCTCAAAAATGGTGGAAAATGACTTAAGTTCGCGGAGCAAAATGTTTTATAACTTCTGTCCAGCTCCAGATTTTTCCTCTATGTGATCGTGGCCCAAGGCTCGCGATCGCGAAGCACAAAATTCCAGCTCCAAGTTTTACCCTATGCGATCGTGTTCACACACCTGCGATCGCAATGCACTGCCCCTTCATCTCGATGCGATCCCACTCACACTCCTACGATCGCGAAGACATGCCACCCCAAACCTATGCGATCGCAATACATCATCCGCGATCGCTTAGAACAAAAAAATATGCTACCTCAATTTCTTCTATGCGATCGCATGGGTCCTCCCGCGATCGCGAACACCAAAAATACCCTGCAACAGCTGATGCATTTTCTGCAATTTTCCCAAGTCAAAACTCCCCGTTAGCCATCCGAAATCACCCCGAGGCCCCCGGGACCTTAATCAAAAGCACCAACGCATCCTAAAACATCATTCAAACTTGCTCCAATCATCAAAACACCTCAAACAACACCAAAACCATCAGATTACATCGAATTCAAGCTTAAGTTCTTCTAAAACCTCCGAAACGGGCATTTGATCCAAAACCCAACCAAATCACCTCCGAATGACCTGAAATTTTACGCACACATCTCAACTCACATAACGAAGCTACAGCAACTCTCGGAATTCCATTCCGACCCCCGGATCAAAATCTCACCAATCAACTGGAAATCGCTAAAATACTAACTTCGCCAATTCAAGCCTAATTCTACACCGGACCTCCAAAACCACTTCGGATCACACTCCTAAGTCACAAATCATCCCCCGAAGCTAACCGAATCATCAAAAATCACATCCGATCCATCAACGCATAGGTCAACATCCGGTTGACTTTTCCAACTCAAGCCTTCTTAAAAGAGACTAAGTGTCTCATTTCCTACTATAATCACTTCAAACCAACTCGATCTCACAAGACACTGATAATGAATCATAAGGAAGCAGAAAATTGGGGAAAAAGAGCGCTAACTCATGAGACGATGGGTCTGGTCGTCACAGCAAGATGAAGAACCCGATACTCCTGTTATCATTATAAGCAGTGACACCGAAGCCGCCTCTAAGGCTTCAAAATCTGTTAATCCAAAGAGTGAAGAGTAAAAGTTTGTGTTTTTAAGTGGTTTTGTGATGCATGCCATGTTGTTAGCATGTATGCTAAAAGTATCTTCCAAATATTATTTGGAATATGTTGAAAAGTATCAATTAATCAATGAAAATGCTTATTTAGTATTTCTTTCCTTTCTTCTGCTTCTTTTACGTTTGATTCATAGTTTTTGCTACATGTTTTAAAATATTTTTGATTCCTTTATTCCCTGGTTCAAAATATTATCGAGCCAAAAAAAATACCCTTTTTTGAGGTATAAATATGGTCACTTTGCCTAACTATAATAATATGAAAATTATCACTCTAATATTAAAAGAATAAATCCAAACGAAAGAAAAGTTTACAACATCTTATGTAAACATGCCGAAAATGCAAAAGAAGATCCAACATATGTAGGTATCAGTAATTCCAATAATACAGAACTAAAATAAAATTTGTATTGAGCAAAAGCACTATTTGACCTGAATAAATAAGAAACCATATGACCTCAGTGTTTTCAAGGGAATTTAACCAGTTTTCACTGTGAAACTCAATGTGCATAATTCAGCTTCAAAAGCTTTCATTCTGAAAATTAGAACCAGCACAAAATTTCTACAAGTCACAGGTTGAAACTATATGCATGTAATTAAAGGGTATTTTGCAAAATCTTATCCCATGTTTAATATGTTTTTCTACCGGGCACATTAACTCCTATTTTATGTGATAGCATATGAATGCCATGCAATTTAAGATATCAGTTTGATTTATGTACAAGGAAACTATAATTCAAAAGTTAATTATCAAACAAAGATAACACCAAAGGTTAAACATGATCGAAATGCTAAAGAAGTCATAAAATTCGAACTTCATAGATAATGAAGATAGTAAACATGAAATAATCATGCCCAACTTCATACAATACTTGATATTCAAAATGAAAAACAAAGTCCTCAACTCTTGCGCACCAAAGAGAAATAACAAACACTTTTCTAACACAAGATAACATAAGAACTAAAATTGACATAGTTACTTTCCAACATTTTCTGACAGCTTCAACCCAATAAATATTCTCGCTAACATAGCAGATGAAATAGCACTTGCTGCACTTCATTTGTTACCACTTCTTCACTTT